AACGATCCATACCGCTGATACTGGCGGAACATGGCCAATAACATCGTTAGACCAGTCAGCTTGGTAAAATGGCGCTGAGTTATGCTCAAGAGCGTGCAGATTCAAGTTTTCTATCTTTGATCGTGCCGTGGTTTCGTTACACAAACGTGGGATTTATGCTTGGACGGTATCGTATAGGATGGTAGCGATGGGAACGATACAGAATCAATGATATCCTATCGGTACGCTAGCTCGTGAATTATCATTTGGTATCGAACGGTGTCAAACGTCTGAGCAATCGCGCGCGTGTGTGTCGGAACGTTTCGAGCCCTTTTCTACCAATGCAGAACAAACGAATGGGTAAACAAAGCTAGAATTTTATTTTATTTATAGATTTTGGTAATTCAAATTAGAAAATTTATTCTATAAAATGTGTATCAATATTTACCATTTTCTGAATTCAATATTCACAGCGTTTTTACACAGGGTGTCCCAAGAATGTTGTAACACCTTGAAAGGGGTGGTTCGCGAGGACTCGAAATTTGAAAATTCAAAATGGTCGATCCAATATGGCGGCATAGAAAATTTATTCTATAAAATGTGTATCAATATTTACCATTTTCTGAATTCAATATTCACAGCGTTTTTACACAGGGTGTCCCAAAAATGTTGTAACACCTTGAAAGGGGTGGTTCGCGAGGACTCGAAATTTGAAAATTCAAAATGGTCGATCCAATATGGCGGCATAAAATGCGAAATGTGACTGGATTTGCTTGAATCTTGGTATGCGGGATTATCTCGGGTCGCTGAATCTAAATCTCAGGTAAAAATTTAGAAATTCAAAATGGTCGATCCAATATGGCGGCATAAAATGCGAAAAGTGACTGGATTTGCTTGAATCTTGGTATGCGGGATTATCTCGGCTCGCTGAATCTAAATCTCAGGTAAAAATTTAGAAATTCAAAATGGTCGATCCAATATGGCGGCATAAAATGCGAAATGTGACTGGATTTGCTTGAATCTTGGTATGCAGGATTATCTCGGGTCGCTGAATCTAAATCTCAGGTCAAAATTTGAAAATTCAAAATGATCGATCCAATATGGCGGCATAAAATGTAAATGCGAAACGTGACTGGATTTGCTTGAATCTTGGTACGCAGGGTTTTTTCGGGGCGCTGAATCTAAGTCTGTACTCGATATTTGAAAATTTAACGAAAGAAATAATCCCCAAAATAATATGCGACAAAAAAATTTTATTTTAAGAAGTATTTACAGTAATTTGCTGTGAAGTAATTTTATCTCTTTAAAATTTTTAATCGTCATATATTTGTAATTTCATCTAATGCAATTTTGAAGAACAATTTCACAATAATTATAAAATAAAATAATATTGTAGGAGTCTAAACAAAAAATAAGGCATGGAAATTCGAATCCACGATCCTCGAGTCTATGTACACTTATATAGTCGACCGCTTTTCCTACACGCCTTTTCGTGCTTCTCACTCTCCCACACACATTCTCAGGCATACAGGTGAATACGAATATACATACATATTATACACTCCCACGACCGCTTATAACACCATAATAACAATAATAACAATATAACAAAAATAATCACCTGTGGCAAAACCAGTAGATATCATATTTTAAAAAAGAAAGCTAATACTGGAAAGAGATGGTTGTTTACGAGAGATAAGATGATAAACGGATGGGCGATGTTGAACGAGACGAGAGCCAGCCCTCGTGGAAAAAGCGAAAGCAAGGGCGGAGAGAAGTTACTTTGGCAATTATGGTGCAGACGAATGCCGACGCATTCATCACTTCCAGTATGGTTGATGTATGTGCGTTGAATACGCACGGCAAACATGCCTGCCGAACCCGACAAACAGTGGAGCTAACAAATTAACGCTGATGCGTTAAACGTCCTCGCCGAGTGCCAAACCGGAAGATCGTGCAGACTTCCCCTCCACAACGGCAACATCGAGATCGACGCATTGATTTCTTGGAACGCGTGCATAAAATCAGTAGTTTCTCGTTGAAATGCGATCGTAGATAATTTCGTTATACAAAGATACAAAGACCACAGCAAAAAATACTTCGGGCAATAGTGTGCTTAAACCCTTGATATACAAGTAAAACGGAACTTGATGCGTCCAAAAAATATTATTCAATTTCGCTCAACTGAACAGTCACTTGGAAGCTAAGAAAGAGTGCATTTTATCTCGAAATTTTGGATTTTATATAACATTTAATCAGGTTGATACATAATGCTAATAACTAAATAACATTGAAAAATAATAATTTAACCATTTGAGGACAGAATTAAAAATATTTTACTTTAACGCATTAATACATTTTTATTTTTACGAATTATTTAAAAATACGTATATATAAACGAAACGATGGGAAGGAAACGTCAACGAGATGTCTTCATTATCCTCCGGGACATAAGCAACGCATAGTCCACTATGGTTTTTACTAGAAACCAGTGGGAATTTAAAAAATTAATTTTCAATTTGTGATTAGCAGTAGTCACCAGTTGGCTTTAAAGGGTTAATAGTTCTGTAAAGTATGAAATATTTCGAAACATTTTAGATTTCTGATTCCAATCTTTGAAAATTAGATAAATAAGCACCAAGGTATTACACATTAGTAGAGGGCTTCCACGAGAACTTATTGTTACTATTAATCTTGCAGAGCTGATTATTACAATCTAGCGGAATCACTCTCATGCACGAGAATATGCTCTGATTTGTTGGTGTGTAAATAAAACAAGGGAAGGAATTCTCTTCTTTAGATTTCCTAAAAAGTCATTATTTTGAAAACCGTGTAAAGGTGAAATCGTGTGGAAAACCCGTATCGTGTAAATTGCGATATAGCTGTATTTTACTCATTACTTTATAACAATAATAAAATGGTGAAACCAACCAAGGAAATTATAGTGTTATGCAAGCTTAAAGCGGGTCACCTATACGCGATTGCTAAATAAAGTTTAACGAGGTTGTCAAGCGAGAGAATCCGCAAACATATATTATCTTACTGTGTACCGAATGTAAACACGCAGATTTACATACGTAAGCACTCGCGGTTACGATAGCGCCGGGCGGCGACGCGACGTGAAAAACTTGTGTATTCGCACAAGAGCGATGCCAAATTTGGTCAAATTGATCGCCGCCGACGTTTAATAACAGACGGAGATGTCAGACGTAACGATAATAATATCTCGGTCAGCGAGAGTGTCGTATAAATATACAGGGTGTTCTATACGAAGTGTTACGAAGTTTTCTCTCAGAAACTGAAGAAGATACTAACGTCATTTTTGATTGTAATACAGTACCGATTCACTACGAAGATTCAAACAAAAAAATTATACTTAAGGTAACTGTTCCATGGATTTATTTAATGAAGGATTGGAACCAAAACTTCACTTGATTGTTATTTGATTAAATATGAACCATAGGAGTCTGGAGGATTTCGATTTAAATTGATCCCGCCAATTTTATGAAAAACGATATCAAGATTGTGTAATTTTAACACACGTTCTTATGGATCGTACAGATTCTTACGTGAAATTTGTTAAATTAAATGAAAACGCAATTTAGAAACTTGCTGAAAATTTAATATGTTATAAAAACTGGTATTATAAACCACTTACAAAAAAAGTGACAATTATGGACTGCGCCGCTACTGAGATATAATTCAGTAATTCTGAAATAGAACGTAAAGAGGTTGCGCGACAACCATTTCTCAAGTATTACGAATGTATTTGTGTAGATATACATATTGATTTATTATGGACGTGTGTGAAAGCAATACACTCTACTTTTACGAAAGTTTTCAATTGCATATTTGAGCGTGACTATCTCGAACAATTACCTTCGTAAAGATAACAAAACGGGACCATTATTGAAAAAGTATATAACCTAAAATAAAGTACGTATACAGGGTGACCAAAAAATGTTGTAACACCTTGAAATGGGTGGTTTGGGTGGTGATATGAAACAACTTTTTCCTTAGCGAAAATGTTTTCCGAGGTTTCGTTAAGAAGATATTAAGCGAAAACCCCGACCAATCAGAGCGCGAGTATGCCAGCGGAGTGACCGCGGTAGCGTATGAGCGCGGCTGCCTATCGCGTAGCCTACGCTCGTCCGGCATACTCGCGCTCTGATTGGTCGGATCTTTTTATTAATATCTCCTTAATGAAACCTCGGACAACATTTTCGCTAAGGAAAAAGTTGTTTCAAATCACCTCCACTCTGTATATACAGGGTGCCCAAAAAATGTTGTAACACCTTGAAAGGGGTGGTTCGGGAGGTTATTTGAAACAACTTTTTCCTTAGCGAAAATGTTGTCCGAGGTTTCGTTAAGAAGATATTAAGCGAAAACCCCGACCAATCAGAGCGCGAGTATGCCAGCGGAGTGACCGCGGTACCGTATGAGCGCGGTCGCCTATCGCGTAGCCTACGCTCAACCGACATACTCGCGCTCTGATTGGTCGCCTATCGCGTAGCCTACGCTCAAACGGCATACTCGCGCTCTGATTGGTCGGGAAGCGCGTAGCCTACGCTCAACCAACATTCTCGCGCCCTGATTGGTCGGGAAACGCGTAGCCTACGCTACCGCGAGCGCTCCAACGCTATACGCGCGCTCTGATTGGTCAGTGTTTTCCGTTAATATCTCCTCAACGAAGCCTCGGACAACATTTTCGCTAAGGAAAAAGTTGTTTCAAATCACCTCCCGAACCACCCCCTTCAAGGTGTTACAACATTTTTTGGGCACCCTGTATAATCTATAATCGCATCGAATAAACGAAAACTTCGACGACTACAACCCACCAATCCAGTTCAATAGAAAAGAACAGACAACGTTGTTTGTTTTCTTCAATAAAACATTGTAAGTAGATGACCAACAATATAGTTAATAGATTGCGGTAGATAAACACTGAAATTAAGGAAAAGAAAACTTAAAATTAGAAAAACTCATTTTCTAATGACTACTTTCAATGTGTTGCGTCTCACCTGATAAAAACAGCAAGTTCTGCATCACACAATGAACCTCGTCTCAAAGATCTCGTATTAATGAATCCCTTTACGAAGGAAGACTGTGACGTTGCTCGTTATTTTAAAGAAGAAGCTACACGTAATTTCGTATTAAGACAAACAAATTTTATAATTCCTTTCGACTAGAATTCTTCTCGCACAATACCGATAAACAATGCGTTGCATCTCACCCGATCAAAGCAGCAACTTTTGTATCCCACGCTGATCCTCGTGTTGTTACCGATGATATGTGTCAATTCCCTCGAACACTCACACACGCACACACACACGCACCAGTTACGATATGTTTCGTTTCCAATTTGATAAAACACTTTGCCCGTCGTAAGTCGAAGTGGCACTGACGAGAACAGTTAGGATTAAAGAAAAAAGTGAATGGAAACGATGGTAATAGAGGAGAACACGAAAGTAAGGCGAGCTGCTAGGCTGCATGCCATGCAGCCACCCTCACGGTAGGCGCGCTAGCCTACTACTGAGCTTATGAGCTCGCTATCGTGCTCACCACGCGCAACTGCCACTACCCGTCACACGTTGCTTCGAGCCCCGGTCGACCCTCACCCACACGACACATCAGAGATGCCCACGAAACGGCACGATTACGATTTCCGCGGCACCGCGATTTCACAGTGTTTTTATTTATTACAAATTATCAGAAATATTAGGTTGTCCAGAAAATTCGTGGCAATTTTTAAACAAAATTCAAAGGCACGTTTGAACTTTAATCTATTATTTATTGAATTACATACATAGGTACCTTTTTTTTTTTTTTTATTGGGTTACTTAACTTAAGCTAACATGTATCTAAAGCGACTTAGAACTAAGATTCGCAGGATCCGTACCGACCGAAGCATCATTGAAGAATGCGTGCTCACCTCTCGCATACCTGCGTGGGTCGCGGCCACGACTCGCTTATGCCTCTTGAAGTTGAAAAGGGGAAGGGTAAACAACCGCGTGACGGTCGATTCGAGGGCTCGTTGGATCCATCGAGATAATAATTTGCGAAACATTAATATTACAGAAAAGTCATATTCTCGGTCATTGTTTAAATAAATATTTAGTTGGTCCAATTAATAGATATTAAAATATTGACAAATTTCTCGATATTAACTCCTTAACCAGTAACTACGTGTGAGACTCGTAGTCTTGTATTCGGACCAAATGTAAACATCACGGGCACGGGCGTGGTACGACGGTCGCGATTTGTAATATCACACCATTGACGATTATTAAATTTTTTGTTATTGATTTTTGTATAAATGCTAATTATGTGAATTGCTAATTTATTCAGGAACTGGAGATGAATGTCTCCCGATTGTAATAAAAAAAAAGGAGGCCAATAGGATAAATAGTTCCAGAGAAAAAAATTCAAACGTACAACCCATTTTCACGAAAATGCCACTCGCTTCTTTTTCCGAGCTGTTTGCTTTCGAACCAGTTCGGCTCAGTTTTCGAGCGGCTCGAATATTCGAGCTTTCTGACAGCCAATTTGGAACGTAAGTCGTAAGTCAAGGGGTTAATGTTTAATCGAAAACTGAATGATACTGTATGTATGTATCATAAATGTTTAATTATGTCGAAAATATTAAGTTTTAATTATTCCAATCAATAGATATTAAAATATAAAAAAATTATTCACGATTACTTTTCCTCAACTTTTCTCAACTTTCAAATGCAATCTCCGAATTAATTAAATATTTACAATGCATATAGTAACATGCAGTCTTCGATTAAATATTAATAACAATCACGGTTCAGAATAAGTATCCATCGAACACAGTGATCGTGAGAAATTTGTATACAGGGTGTTCCAAAACTCGTTACAAGCGTTCATAAAAAATGTTCACGCCATCTATGATCGTCTGTTTACAACAGAATGCCATTACCGACCTAATTACCCACCAAACCCACGGTCAAAACCAATATGGCGTCGGATTAACCAGCTAAATACGTCTAAAATATTCAAATTTACATACGCTTGTCTTTTTAACTGTTGGATTCCTAACATTTTAACTTATATTTTCGTAATCTGAGCATCAAAAGCTACTAAATGGTACAAAAAAAAGTTCATAATTTTTGGTGCCCCAAAGTAAAATTTAACCCCGTTCTCCATTTCGGTTATTATTGTTTCATGTGATAAGCGATTGATCAACTATGTGACTGAGCTGAGAGGTCGGTTGCCGTCCTCTAGTGGGTCTTGATTGTTTGGGAATTATTAATAATTTTCCAAATAAAATTCATGAAAATCACGTATTTTTAAAGCTGTTACACTGGACTTCCCCTTTAAAATTAAATACTTCTTCAGGGCAATTATAAATGAAGACATCACAACATCTATTATCATACTTGTCTTTTAATAGATTGTTTGAAAGAAATCAAGTGAATACAGACAATTACCAGCCAACTCGAAAGTATACGCATATGTATTAACATGATTAACATTAAATTTAGTTGAACGAAAAAGAAAATAAATAATCTAGCAACAAATACGATTCCGAATTTTTTCATGTAGTAAATACATATACACATAATAACATAAATAATCAATGGATCTCAATATTTGGCGTAAATCACTTTTAAATTTCTATATACTATAATAATGCCGTAAACTACGATAATACGCACCTGCGAAGTAATTACGTTTACCATAAAAATGCACATGCATTGTCTCCTTTAAGAACGAATCCATACCAGTACGAAATTTCGCGATTAAATTACAATCTCGCGCGCGAATTACAAATTACAAAAACGGATAGCAATGATAATACTTAAACAGTTTTGTATGAATCACTTACACGTTATATATGTACATCGTTATAGTAAATAGTAAATAGTAATAATTGCATTAAAAATTATGGAAATTGTAGCGATAATAGGGTAACCACAGAAGTAAATTCAAGCGACAAAGGGAGAAAGGCGTCCGTTAAATATTTATGTACGGTATGTAATTTCTACAAATATAATCTCGTACGAGAAGCGTTATTTATTACGTTGAAAGAATTGAATCAATTCTTGCCTTGCCTCGATATTCAACGTACTATTTTCTAAGGTTTCTTGATCTAATTATCACCATTCTGCTTGTATTGCTCTTATAACACCCACATACAATGTTTTACAAAAATATTGACTCTAATATTAGTCGAATCACTTTTGAGCAAGTATATGTAACAAGCTACGCAAATATTACACGTAATCGTTCGCACCGTCACCCTCTGTCACTTGTTACAAGGATTTGTGCATCGTTAATACAGCTTCTTGACTACAATGATGTATCCACTATTCGCTTTGCGCCTTGTCAATAAACGAAGCGCAATTTTTTGTTTATCTTAGTCAGCTCGTACTACGTACAATAATTTATATCAAATATAGGATAAACTACTTAAATGCATTTGGCATGTCTTGTTTATGTGCGAAGCCCACATTCTAATCTGAACGATCAATTTACATCAATGTATTCAAAGTCTAAAAACAAATGACTTCCTTGGTGAAATCGACTTTGCGCTTACAATAAAATAATTAGTACAACTTTGGACACTTTCGACGGATTTGTCCCACGTTGGTAGTTACCTCTCAATGTATAAATATAACTAATTATGATCATTTTGTTCTACTGGTCGTTACAGTTGGATTTAAAATACTGGACCTGACATGAGCACTCTTGCTAGATTTACTTTTCGTAGCATGTGGTGCACATTCTATAACCGACCTCCGACTTTTCACGATTTCTTTCTCATCGTGTTCCGGAACGTCGTCTTTCTTTCTGTTTACCTCTGTTGTTTTTCCATTAGCATGACGATCGCTACGATTCGTTGATATACTTTTGCACGTATTTTTCCCAGCCTTCGTATCGCCCTCGTAATACTTCCGCAAGGGTTGTGGTGTATAATATAAACTGAATCTTTTCGATTTAACGCTTTGCTTTTGTTTCTCCTCGCGTAATTCATCAGTGGAACTACACTTTCTAGTATTAACAGAAATCAGTTTGTCGTTAACTAATACAGAGTCAGGAACCTTCTTCGCTGAAGATGGTGAAAAATAACTGAACCTTTTACTTTTCATTGATATCCTTGAATCTGCATCGTGCTTTGATGTACACTTTTCGCGTCTAAATTTTACCACCTCGTTCTTCGTAAACTTAGATTCATCCGGTGTTTTTAATAAATTTTTCTTGTTGTTCAGGAAATTATTTGGTTTCGAAGGTTTTGAAGCGTTCACTTTTAATGTTGTTGGTGTTTGCAATATTTTCGTTGCCGATTTTTCCTGATTTGTTAACGGAGAATTGTTTGCGAGATATTGCTGCTTAAAATTATCAGTCTTTAATTCTTGACTATAGGGAAAACGAATATTTTCAAAGCTCTCAGTTGACTCCATACTTTGAGTTGAACTCGACCTTTGAGTCTGTGTTAATTGTGCAAATTGAATGTTTACAAAACTATCGGATGTTTGAATGTCATTACTGGAACTACCGGTTAAACTATCTGTCGACGACAAAAGCATATTACAATTCTTCATATCGTCACTGCCTAGTTTCGAAGCAATCTTGTCGGAAAATATTAAATTTTCATAAATATGTAACCGCCTATATCTTTGTTGATTCATACGTTGTGAATTAGTAGTTTTAGGTGTTTCGCAAGCATACGCATTACTGTTGGTCGACCTGTCTGGCGTATCAGGCATAATAGAATCAATCTCGCTAGAAGAATTTCTTTTATTGAAAGCAAACATATTTTCTTCAACTGGATTCCTATCACAATTTGTATCAATTTCAATGGAAGCAGCATTTTGATAACTATTTAACATTATTGGATTATTAGAAGTACTATTCAGAGACGAAGTCTCACAACTCGACGAATTTGAACGATACTCGTTTACTTGCTTTTCGTTTAAATTGTTTATAAGATTGTGCATAGACTGACTAAGATTATGAATATCTTGTAAACAATCTGCACTAAGAGACACCGGTTCATCGTCGCTAGGATTTCCATTATTAAGAACAGTTTCATCGTGATCTAAATTTCCTTGATCTTGATTTATATTACGAAGTAAATCAACATTTTCTGATTCTGCCGATGACAAAACTTCGCTCCACCACTTGCCTCTGATATTCGTCCTGTTGTTAGATGTACCATCAATTTCATCTGGTGAACTGTCACATCGCGTTTGATTTTTGTAGTCGAACTCGAAAGTTGCTAATCTTATCGGCTTACACTGCTGATCCCAGTGTTGCTCCGACGGGTCGGTAAATGTTGATGCTGTGGTCTGCTCGCCTCCTAGAAAGCTCTGTTGATATACAGAGGCGGGACAAAAGAAAAAAAAAAGCACTGCTACAGATACAGCAAACCACTACTGAAGCCTTCCTAGCACTGTGTTCAATTAGCCAAGGATAAAGCAGGAATGGGCATATTCAAATAATTTTGTAATTGAAATATATCTAAAATACTGAATATACGTATTCAATTTGTAGATCAAGTCTCGATTAACCAAACATATAAGTAAAGTATTCTGAATGTACATAGGTATTGTAAGCTAACAGCTAAGTAATAGCTCATGTTAGTACTTAGCATTAACTAAGCAATCACAAGATACCTGTATATACTGTAACTTATAACATTGAATAAAAATACAGTATTATGACAAGCACATAGGTACTTTTAAATATTCAATTACAAACGAAATACAGATTTGTAAGATATTCGTTATTGAATACTTTGTGAAATACATTTTGCCCATCCTGAGGATAAAGCTTTGATAGATAAGCATATTATTCTATATAGCAGAGAATTGAAACTAAGTCGAAATTAAAAGAACTGTAAGAAACTAATAAGCAAATGAATAAGTAAATATACATAACCAAGATCGAATACCGATAATAAAAATTAAAGAAACAAATTCACCATATCTACTACAAGGATAATTGTGTGTTATTTTTAATGGAAAGGAAAGCCATGCTGGGAAATAGAAGTAGGTTTTCTATTATTAAACTAATATATAATGACAGTTACCGCTAGCCATGGATGGTCAAGTACATCTTCTGCACTGAACCTTAAATCAGGGTGTGTTTGCAGCATATTTGAAATCAGCTGCTTGGCAGAATCTGATATGTTATCCCAATGCGGAGATGTGAATATATACTGACCGCTTAAAATACGTTCAAATAATTCTTCTTGCTCGTTTTCAGGTGAAACAAATGGTGGAAAACCACAAAGTAGAATATATAATATTACACCAGTCGCCCATACATCGATCTAAAAAGAATTAGATTCATTTTTCCTTTTATTCTTACCAGCTTGCATTACTAAATCAAAAAACAAATTTCCGAATCTTAAACAAGATAAGTTTTTTGTAGATTTAAATTCTAAAACTCTGAAGGTAATCCCGAATCATTAAATAGAAATATTAGAATAAGTACTTGTTTAGGACTGGAAAATTTGGTTTCTTATTATATCCATAAGCTCTACTAGTAATGAATAAAAAGATTTTCTTGTCTTTTTTAAATATCAATATACCTTTAACCCATATCCAGTTTCTGCAAGAATTTCTGGTGCTACATATGTTGGTGTACCACAAACTGTGTACAAGGGTTCTCTTACGACTTGGGCAAGTCCAAAATCACCCAGTTTTAAACATCTCACATGGCTTCCATCCATCTCCACTAAAAGATTCTCTGGTTTAACATCACGATGTACTATATGATGGCAATGCAAATAAGCTAGTGCAGATGCTAAGTGTCTAATCATTACACTAGCTTCTGCCTCTGAAAAATTTGTTGCAGCAGCAATTGCATCGAATAAATCTCCACCCTAAAGTAACGAAAATATTTTATTGTTTAATTTTAACTTTTAATGAGTAAATAAAAAATATTGCTTAACAGATATACCTTTACAAGCTCCATGACTAAAAACAATTGGTCAGGAGTATCTTGTTCAGCGATCAAGCTAATAATATTTGGATGACAAACTTGGCGTAAAATTGCCACTTCACTTGCTAACATTGTCTCTTTACCTTGACATTTGTATTTATCCACAATTTTCATTGCATATTCTGCACCTGTAGATCTAAAAAGTACTTCTTTATACAATTTCCAACAATCTTAATTATTAACACTTAGTTCTTTTAAGTACTCACTTATGAATGCAATGCCTAACAACTGCAAAACTACCATCTCCAATTTCATGACCAACTGCATAGTGCAAACGTAGTGGTTGTGGCAATACTAATGAGGATGGACTTGGCGTGCGCACTTGCGGTGTACTAAGCACCTTTTTTCCAGATTTACATGGCATTCTAGGTAAAGGACCACTTTGTCGTTTCGATGTCCATGGACATCTTCGGAAGCTTTGAACAATTTTAGATTCTTCAAAATCTAATTCAAAATCTTCTTGATTTGATTTTTCGGAACCATAAGCCAGGAATATATCATCACTTTCAAAAAACTGTTCCAAAGCAATAATTTGCTGACCTGAGAGAGTATAAACTTTTCTTACTGCTCCGGAATCTAATTTAACTGCTTCTGTAATTGCTTCCATAGCATGTTCTAAACTAGGAGCATTTCTCTTATTCAGTAAAAGACGTACAACTTTACGTGGTTTTGTACCATGACGAATTAAAGTAATTATTCTTGCTTTTACACATAATGGTATTGCACTTATTTGTCTACTAGTACCCGCTGGGGATTGTGGTAAACCAGATAAAGAACTGCCTCTTCTTACTTTTGTAGACGAATATTCCACTTTTTTAAAACTTTCACCTTGTCCAGAAACCACATAACATTTACCATCTTCTAAATCATTGATAGTTTGAATCTTTCTTCCATCCATAGTATATATTGCTCTAACACCATTAGGTAAAGTAACGCTAGATATTAAAGCTCTTGTTAAATCTGAAGTTAAACTGTCAAAACTGCGATATCTCTCAGGAGTCACAGCCATCACAATACCGGTATAAAATTTATCTCCATTTCTAAAAAATCTCACTCGCTTTGCTTTTTTAGTTGTCGGTGTTCGTAAAGCATTTAAAGCATGGCGTGCATTTAAATCCAATATTCTTTCATCTAAATTCATTATAGTGGCTGAATTTATTTCCACACTTCCAGAAAAATTACTGTCACCAGACGGCGAAGCAGCTTGACTCAAAGGTTCCTCCATCATCCTAAATAGAAAATATCTTCGATGCACACAGAGCACAGTTACTAAAAATATTTGAAGCTATGCAATTGCAAATTTGTTGAAGAAGTAAATAATAAAAACTTGAACACAGCTGTTTCACACGAATTATATGAAATTAAAAGAAATTTCTACATGAACAACACAGCTGTCACATCTTGGGATACACTGGTTGAGTAAATGGAATATTTAGTGATATAGCATTACAATAAAAGCGTTTTTATCGTATCACTGTTAAAATTTTAATCCATTCAAAACTTGAGTAAAAAATAACATCTCCACAATGATTATACTACAAAGATTAACATAATTTAAAAATTTCTAAACGTTTACCGAACGTTACAAATCCGTAACAACCCGGTGATAAGAATATTTATTCATCTTCCTAACCTACTTAACCTTCATTAATTACTTCGATATGTACACAAATACAACGTATAAATAAACATTATTAAATATCGTCATTTGTTAATAATGTAAGTTTATCACAAGCATATCACGAATATGAATATGCACTCACCTGCTCGTTGAGCAGAACGCGTTAGTTAAAAAACAGATGAAAAATCAGCTAATGAACGAATGAATCACCACTGAGCTGACATTTTCATAGCAACCATGACGCGAATGCCAGATAATAAAAGCGAAAAATTTCACTTTCAAATTATACCGAAATAATTTCCCTTTCGATTGCACTTTAATCCAATATAACTGTTACACTTCACGTTTCTATCGCAACACACCGATCTTTGTTTTCTACGCACAGAATAGTTTGACCTGCCAAACTCTATAAATAAAGTAGCTTGTCAAAGAGAAACTGGGAGACCGGAACCGGAAATGTAAAGAAATTAAAAGGGTAGAAGATGAAAATGAATATTTGAATAACTTGTTATTAATTAAATCGTAATTAATTACTATCTATTAGATTTGTGACTATATACACGCAGCGTATCTTTATGAAGTGTCGTGTTTATTGTCTGTCGTTTACGCAGATTACTGTATTCAATGGTGTCGCAAAATGTAAATAACAATTAAAAGCTTAGTAAATTCTACGGCACTTGAATCTGTTAATGATTATTCAAAAAAAAAGTACCATGAATCATTAATACAGCCGAATTCAAAAGATTGTGGAATTTAATAAGAAGCACGCATTTCATTCAATTGAACACTTGTTATGGTGGTTTTCTAAATCTTGTAAGAAGCAGAGTATAATTATGTAGAATGAATAAAGTATTTTAAAGTCAGTCGGTAAGATACAACTACTAACAGCAATAGAGGGCAGTATGATCGATAAAATCGTTTATCACTTATCTCGTCATGTACTTAGTACAATGTGTTGGTATTAAATGCCTCGTATACACTAGTACAATAATTAGGTATATTGAATAATTAATGCTATGATATACACATGTGTAAAAAAAAACCATAGAAAAATCTTGTAATCTCATATGTGATTGAAAAACATTTAGAAAAAGAGTTTTCATAATTCCTCTGGTAGCCGTGATCGTCTAGTGGTTAGGACCCTACGTTGTGGCCGTAGTAACCCAGGTTCGAATCCTGGTCACGGCAATGTCTTGTCAATGAATGACATTGTCACGGCAGAGGTTTTTTTTTTATTCTTGTTCTTCCATCGCGTATACTAATCATTTAAATAATTAACGCTTATCTTAATGTCACTAGCATTATATGATAAATAAGACATTTTGTTTATAACGATACTGTATTTTTCAGTTTCGTTCTCGTCTATCGATGTATTTTCTTAAACTGTTTTTTATATTTGAAATCGATTTTGAGGTTGAATTTGTTGCAAATATTGTGGATTTTGCGTAAAGGAAATTTTATTTACAGAATACTAAGTATAGTTTTTTTAAATATAATTTATCAGAAAAATAATGCCGTAAACCACAATTCTCTATTATGGTTGAGTTCCATCTATAATAAAAAAAAAATTGAACGTGTACTTATGTACGCGCGTTGAAAATTATACTTCTTTTATGTGACTAAAATAAAATCTTATTGCTTATGCAAATAGATTATTTAAAGAGGAAACATGATAAAATGACTGATTGGATGGAAGATGATGGACATTAAATGCAATTAATAAAGGGTTTAGTTGAAGAACACAATTAAAATGAAATAATATTTATTTTTATACAGATTAACAAATATTAAAATAATCATTGCCATATAAAACTGAGTTAAAAATGTCAAAAACTAAATCAATCGGTTTTCATTGGTTCTTCTGATAATAATGAATGGGCGTGTGAGTTACAAGTGGTTTGTTAACTGAAATATGATACAAATAGTCTTGTAGAACACATTTAATTTTCTTCGACGTCCAAATTATAATACAGTACAGGCGCATCGCGAACGCTCTCAACGCGGCAAAAGAAGTATAATTTGAACAAATTTACAGACCTCGCGCACACGCAAGAGTTGAAGAGATTGAAAATCAAGCGACAGCTGTTAATACCTTGTAAGGTTATTTATTGCATTAATATCAACACTACAAGTTTACTACAATTTTTTGTCATTTATTCTCCTTATTGGCTTCGTTCTCTTTCATTGTTTTGTGACGCACTAAAAGTCAATTGTAACGGAACATTTTTTTGTTACTACAGTAAAGTCTCCTTAAATGCACAAATTTCTCTACGATAAATGCACAGAAACCATCCCCATACTGGGGGGTGTATCCTTTGAGGAATCCAGAAATTCGATCGTCGAGTAGTGTAACATGATCCGAGATCAGATATCTCGGTGAAACAATGCTAATACAACGATAAAACTCACAGACATACCATGATGTCTTCTTTATTCCCTGTCCTTCTCTATGTTCATCGCATTCCCCCTCCAGTTTTTAAGCTGTGTAACGGATCATATTTATTCTGTTACTTCCCAACCATTTCATCGCCTCACAGCATTTTTTCACCATATAATGGGACATGAATTTCGGCTGTTCGAAAATAAAAAGATTTTCGATCTTAAAAATTCTACCGATGTTTAACCTGGCGTCCGTTGATTCGCACCTGGCGCCGCGATCGAGGGAACGATCGGGGGGCACAGAGGAACGATCTAGTCGGTGCTCGTATACAGGGTGTCGCAAAAATGTTGTAACATATTGAAAGGAGTGGTTCGGGAAGTGATTTGAAACAACTTTTTCCTTAGCGAAAATGTTGTCCGAGACTTCGTTAAGCAGATATTAACAAAAAACCCCGACCAATCAGAGCGCGCGTATACCGTTGAAGCGGCTGCGGTAGCGTATGAGCGCAGCCGCCTAGCGCGTAGCCAACGCTCCACCGGCATACTCGCGTTCTGATTGGTCGAATCTTTTTGTTAATATCTCCTTAACGAAGCCTCGGACAACATTTTCGCTAAGGAAAGAGTTGTTCCAAATCGCCTCCACCCTGTATATACAGGGTGTCCCAAAAATGTTGTAACACCTTGAAAGAGGTGATGCAGGAGGTGATTTGAAACAACTTTTTCCTTAGCGAAAATGTTGTCCGAGGCTTCGTTAAGGAGATACTAACGGAAAACGTCGACCAATCAGAGCGCGTGTATGCGGTTGGTGCGGCCGTGAGTAGCGAAGGCTACGCGCTAGGCGGCTGCGTCAATGTCTTTCGATGCACGTCGAATCACTTGCTCGCGTACAAGTGTGACCGCTTAGCACATAGCCTTCGCTACCGCGGGCGCTCCAACGGTATACGCGCGCTCTGATTGGTCAAGCTTTTCTCTTAATATCTCCTCAACGAAGCCTCGAACAACATTTTCGCTAAGGAAAAAGTTGTTTCAAATCACCTCCCGAACCACTCCTTTCAATGTGTTACAACATTTTTGAGACACCTTGTATAACGAAGACAGGGCCGTAGCGCGGGCAAGCGTCGTGGGGAAGGTGCCTTCGCGTCGGTGGAGGGAGACACCACAATAGCGGGGCGACGTTCTCCAGAAGAGCCGCGCCGCCAGTCTCGTTCGGTGTGTGTTTATCGACGGTTGTAATAGCGCGGGTGGATTTGTCGCGGTGAACGGAGCATAGCAAACGCAAAGCCGCTCTACAGTGCGTGGAAAGCAAAAGCGTGTGCGTGTGTGTTTTCTTTTCCCTGTCGAGTCCTGTTACCCGTTTAATAAGAAAAAGGGAAAAGAAACGGGGACAAATGCGGTGACCGAGAGGATGTCACGCGAGTGAACCGTGCAAGAAGAGACGCCGTGTTGCGCGGGTGTCCTCGAGAACTCGACTGCAGATCTCCACAGACCGGTCGACGAAAATGCGGGCACGATACGTCGTGGCAGGTGAGTAAGGCCCCGGGCATGTTCGCCATTCGTGCGTCGTTCTTTCCTTCGTGTTCCTCTTTGCTCGATCGCCTCGCCGATCCACGATCTCTGGTCGCTACGAGTTTCGGGGGACGTGACGTTTTTCCTGTTCGATTACCTGAAACCCTTAGGTGTGCTTAGGTATTCGGTGAACGTTATTCGAGGTTCGAGCTATTCGGATCCTTGTATTATGCGTTTTGAATAGTTTGTGCACCGATCGAGTGCAGGCGTAAACCCGCTTAGGGATATTTCATTTATACCCTGTACGCCGTTTACGACACGTAACCGCGTTTACGAGTTGTTGTCAACGAGACGTAAAAGAAAGGATTCGATTAATCCTGTTTAATTAATCTGTCCAACTACAGCGATAACGTGAAGTGCTATTCTTAATCTCGCGTGACCTTCGAGTGACTCCAAAGTGAAAATATGTATCCGCTTGTGATACGTTTCTATTTGAATATTCGTTGATTTTTTGATAACGTCATGTGGATTATGAATCATTCGCATCGTGTTCATTGTCCTTTTCTCAAACTTTATTTTCGTTTAGAATATTGAAGTACTCGAATTTCGATTAACGATATTCGAGGTTCATTCGTAATATTCAAATGTCTATTCGAAAAGTGTTTAGATTCGTAAAGTTTGTATCTGGATATTTAACGGAGACAAAGTTTTATTCTAATCAACGCATCGCACGTAAATCAACGTATGTACGTTATTATACTGTACTGTATAGTGACGTTCATTGAATTGAATATTTAAAGTTTTATTTGCAATAAAGTTTAATGACTAGAGCATTTTATTTTATGTCATTTCATTAAAATAATGTAAGCACACAGATGCTATACAAACTAGTCTTACGTTAATCTATGTAAAAAAGGCGCGTTAAGATGTTAAGCGATATGTTAATACGTTTATGTAACGTATATGCTACATAAACCATATTCGGTTTAAAATCAATAAATAAATATATACAATAAAGTATAGTATAATATTTCAGCTTATTTAGTGGGTGTACAAGATAATATGCGTGTAGAGTATAACTTTTTAGAATTCGTATGTAGTACGGTCATTGATTGTTTATTACATCATCGTTTTGACCACAAGGATTCGTGGCGTTCATCAGAAACAAAACACATGATGCATACGATAGAAATACCGATATGAATGAAAATATAATTGCCGTACACGCAACGAAATTCTAACAATAGAACACATAATATTTACTTGCAAAAATACGGAACCACTTAACATTCTTTCGAGATAATACTAGTATGTATGTTGAACGATCATCCAATCGCAAAAACTATGCGTTAGTCTTGTGCGACCTATTCTTAATCTGGTTATTAGAATTTGTTCTCTTCTTAGCAGAGAAATAGCAGGATTTCTTGAAAATTTATTTTCCACTGTTGGTTCCATTTTTCTAAGATTCTTTTTGCTATATCAATCTGTGCATCTTCCTTTGGTATTCCAACATTACTGAGGTCTATATTTAGTGGTCTCTCGGTTTCTTCCAAACATGAATTTCTTGTTCTTTTTTTTTTTTTGTGATAAGTGATACATGGTTGTTTGTTTCTTTTACGTAGTTCATATTGCAGTTTTTGGATCATTGAGTTCCTGTCGTAGTGGTTGCAGATTCCTTGAAGGATCTTCTCGTTACCGAAACGTTAATATTCCCACGGTAACGTCGAAATAACATTTTTGAAAATAGAAATATTCCAAGTTGAATTGTAGTTTTCGAACAGCTATAAAATATTCGAACACAAAATGATTCGCGAAGGCCATATCCTACCGGAGATGTCGACGCGTGGTCGTTTCGACTGTGTCGAAATTAAATATTGCCTTAGTCGAATGGGAAAATATCGATCAACGAGCCGAGTGTCTCTATGGTTGTTAATTTCCTGTAGTTTCCGTGGCGCGCAGTACGCGTCACGTTTGTTGCTCAAATTTCAGCGCGAATCAACTGGCCGCGGCGTCGAATTCGTGACAGGTGGGGAGGGCCATCTTGCCAAACCGTTCCGCACACCTGATCGTCTACCTGAAGTACTGTTATACGTCCGCGTACACGAGGATCGTCTAAAATAGACGTCCGTTCTGCTTCATGGAACCTCTGGTAATATTCACGCGCGACTTTCCGTTAACGTTATCAACTCTTCGCCTCGTTTCTTCCATTTTCTAACTGTGTACGAACTTTTTGTGACGAACGCGTCCTCGTCAGTTGGACGTACGCGTGTTCTCTACCAAGTTTTCTCTCTCTGCTTATTATTCGCGCAACTTGTGATTCCAGTTTCCAGACAGGTGTAAATTGTTGGACGTATATTTCCTTCGGAGCGTTTTGTGACCGCGATTACTTTATTTCCATGTTGTCTAATTACTTCGGCACTTCTGAACGTTTGTCGAATGTTTGGTTACTGTTTGTGACATTTTAATGAACTTTTTTTTTTACAGAGGTGATGGTTGTTATGTATCGTGTAAAATATACAATAAAATATGGCACTGTTTAGTTTTGTGAGATAAATTTATTTGAAATAGCTATTATTTCAAATGAATCGATATTATTTTTGTTTTCAAGTAACTGTATTGAAAATGACGGTCCGAAATAAATTATTATTATTATATTATTTATCATGACTAGACTGTGGGTTTTGGGTATCTATGACGTGCAACAATATAGAAAACGTACATAAATAAAATATACATAACGTATTTTGAATGTATTCTACGATTAATGGAATAATAGCGTTATTTCGTTTTGCGTAAATGCATATTTCTGTTTATTGTATTAGTTTATATCACAATGCACGCATAACGACCATACAGTGATCGTACAGCAAATGCAACGTTCATTTATGTTTAAATACTAAAAAATAATTGTTTCATGAAATTTCATGTTGCGTAATGCAATGAGAGGTATTATTTGTGTTTGAAATATTATATCGTTGTACGCGGTAGATTTGTAGAACTCAAGGAGTGATTGTTCATGATGATGTAGAAATACGTCAGTATGTGTTTTTTTTTTTTTTGTATTTTTCCCATTTCCTGGTTGATTCCAAATTTTATCTATTAAAAATAAAAGTTCACGCATTGAAGGGATAAAAGGACTCCTTTTAATTCAACAATATGTATACCAATCATTTTTCAATATCTTTTTAGTTTAATAGCTACGTGAGCACGAATCAAATGGAAGGTTCTGATATAAGAGGTTCTTCCGCGAAGGAAATTTATTTGGATATATCTCAGCGATGTTTCATCCAGATTGGCGTTTGAAAATATTATTTAAGGCAAGAGCACCGTATAGTTGCATAAAAAAAAAGAGAATGTGTACGTGTCCACTAGGATTGTAATATAAAATTGCAAAAGTGACATGTTTGAGTAGCGAAACGTTTGTAAAAGTTGGATTTAAAAGTTAAAAATTAAATTCGCTAATGAAAACAAAACTGGAATTGATAACATTGATGAAAAATAACGAATAAACTAAATTATCTACAATAAATAGAAATCGCCTTATTTAATCATTATAAATAATTTATAATTAAATAATAGTAGTCTTATACGTGGATCGAAAAGTATAATAAAGGAGAAGCCACCTAAACATGCAAACAGTAGCGTGCGTTTCGACTGTTTTGAGTATAAAATGGAACTCGTTGCTCGACAATTCTTAGCCCTCGAACGTCGCAGTGATCTACGCGTATCGTCGTGTTTCACAAGCGGAGAAATTAAACTCGGAATCGCGAAGGCCTGATCGATAATGTTGGTGCAACGACCCTTCTAGACTCTTAAATCGTAAAGTAATCGCGAGAAGATAATGTCTCCGGGTCTGTTAGTCGCAAGGGGCTCTCCCCCCGTAAGCGTTGATCGAAAAGCTACAGTTGCGCAAACAAATTTTGCGAGCGCGTGAAAAATTAACGCGATAAACGCGAAGCATTGTACCCCGAACCCGCTCACTATAACACGCGGTACCTACATTCGTAAAGCAGACCAGTGGGATATCGATCGTTTTAAATCTTGCATCTTGCGTTGTTCGACGATGACTAACCATTCGAGCCTTCTCTTATACGTATACCAAACGGAAATATAGTCCCTCTATTGTACGACTTTTTATTGAATTTCATTTTAAACTCTTCAGGGATATTAACATATACGTGTACATTTGCATTTGTCGCAAAATTACCGTTATTTACAATCGCCGTATCTTTTAGAATTTAAAAATGTACGATATTAACACTAAACCTACCACGACTGGACAAATGACCGTTTTCAAATTTTTGTACATAGTTCTTGTATATAATATGTAAATTATACAAGGCCTACCAAAAATTATTCGACACCATTGTTTGGGTGTTTCCAGTAGTGCAATTAAAAAATGTTTTCGATAAAAGTTTATCGGTATGTAATGTGTGTATGTGTGCATGTAGTGAGCTACATGTTCGGATATTCTTAAATGCTGAAAAAATTTATTTTACGTGAAGAAGCGAAGGTCACCTTGACATTTTTAAATGGCATCATACGTATGACATATAATACCATATAATAGTAAACGATTCCACATTTGTTATCACAAATCAAGAAGAAATAGGTGTATTGATATTTTTGTAAGATAAAATTAGTAAACAAACCTGTCTGTATTAAATCATTATCTGATATTAACAATAAGACACGTTTTATGAAAGTATAACACCGCTTTTCCGTCATCGACATCAATGGAGCGATTATTTTCTTTCGTGAAAATATTAGACGGGTCCAGAGAAAAATCACAGCTTCCTTGAAACAATTCTTTTTGTTCCATATTACTACGATGATTGTTTCTTTCGTTAAATTTGTAATAAAAAATTAAGGAACCAATTCATTATTTGATATTGATACTATTATTAGATATAATTCATATTATTTTGATTTTCAAAAAACTGTATCGAAAATATCATGAAGATTATTTCTTTCGTTAAATTTGTAATCAACAAATAACGAACTAATTCGTTATTTGA